TGCTTCACCTATTCCCTTATATGTACTTTATCATGAAATCCTATAGCTCAGTGTGGAAATCCTATAGCCTACGTGCAGAACTCTTCCAAGGTACGTGTACATGTAGAAATTGTGTAGAAATCTTGCAGTCTATGTGTAGAAATTTTGTGTAGAAATCTTACTGTCTGCGTGTAGAAATTTTACAGAGTACGTGTCACTTTACTTTACTTTTTATTCTAAAATTTTATTCCTAACAATACGGAACCTAACCAATGGGGGGAAAAATCTACTTTTCTCCAGGACGTTGTCTGAATTTCAGATCATATGCTATGGCAGGGGTGAGGAACTATGGCCCTTTTATGACCTGCGGCACTTTAACTCCCAGAATTCATGAGCCAGCATGGCTGGCTCAGGAATTCTGAGAGTTGAAGTCCACAGGTCATAAAGGGGCTGTAACTCCTCCCCTCTGCTACGGGATCAAACTGAGAAGACACAAACTTACTGTCTAGATCAAAGATAAACAACATAATGCTTAGAAACACTAAAGTAGCCACAGATATCTTGCTTGCTGACCTGGCGAGTCCCTCTACCCCATATAATTTGCTTTTCCAGAAAGATCTCATTAAAAATGTACATGAGAAGTTGGCTTGTTGAAAAGCATTATCTTTATTTAGAAGAACGTATCAAGGCCCCATAGGGTTTGTTTGAAAATAAAAATGGTGGTGCTTACTTGCCTAGAAAAAGGGAAGATGTTTTTATGCTCCTATTCTGAGCTGGATACATGCTTTATTCCATCTCTCTGCCCCTGTTTCTTGCTTTGGACAACTCTGAAGTCAAGGACAGGCAGACTTTCTTGCTCACTCACAGTTTAATGACTCACTCTCTGTGTTAAGTCCGGAGAATAATGGCGCTTGAAGCAATGCATTTCTAAACATGTCTTTATTCTCTGACTACAGTCAACGAACAACCCGAGCAGAGGCACGCAGGCCTCTATTTATACCCTCTGATCCCCGGGCAATTTCAACCAATCACAGGCAGTCTTTTCCTGCCTTGCGCATGCACGCAAGGCCGGCGC